TTCACCGCTCGCATGCCGATCGATCGAGCACTCAACGTTCACTCAAAAGGAATTTACTCCTCGACAAGTACTATTCAAACTACGAGCTTGTAGTGCGCTTAAGGTGGCGGTGATTGGCCTTCCGTTCGTTAAAAATGCCACTGACTCCACTGACTCCACTGTCTACCACTGCCAACGTTTTTCATACGATCCGCGACCTCGGCATCTGACTATTTCCTTTTCGTACGTCAATCCCATCGCGCTACTCCACGGGCCGTTGGCTTTCCAGACATTGGCAAAGATCTTGCCAATTGGGCTATCGCATTGCCAATCAATACTCGCGCTCGCGCCGCCAAGGTACGACCACCTATCACCTCCGATGCTTATACCAAGGTTCATCGTGAATTTATTCGTACAAAACTCATCTCGAGTAATTGTCGAGGAGGAGGAGGAGGAGATTAGCCTATTGCACGAATGTCTTGGTTGGGCGCATCGTTGGAGTTTATAGGGAGTGCCGTCGAATGTTGGTTGGGGCGGCGCAGCGCCAAATGCTTCAACGCTCATTGCAAGCTTCGACTTTTCGCGATCCATCCAACACTGACGCGGATTCAATCGAGAAAGTCGAGCCACCAAGGCGTATAACTTTAGGACACTATACGCCATCGTTAATTCCTCCTAAGCGATAGTCGGTAATTATAATATGTTGGCGGGAATTTCAAAACTCCCATTGAATATCGAGATGGCTTTCGGCTTTGGCGGAACAGTCGCATTTGTTTTCCACTGTGTCATCGGATTCGAGAATACAAGTCTGCGCTTCAAGCACGATTGAGTTAAAGCTATCGCACGGTTACATAGTTAGTCGGGAGTAATTTTCTCGAGAGCTTCGAATGGAGCGACGGAGACGAGCGATTTCATAATAACGATAAACCAATATCGCCCTCTCGAATCGCGACGATTTACGTATTAGAGAGCGTCTTTTGCGGATTATACGCCGAGGCTAGACTATTGCGAAACATTGCATCACACGATCCGATACTCAATTTCTCTACGCACATGTAAAATAATCGTTCTAATGGTTGACGTATTTTTACGATTGCCAGCGCGTATCGCCCATAATATACTATAAAATGCGGGATTCGTGTCATATTTGGGATGACAGGCTATAGTTACATTCACGTTTCCCATAAGGGTGACGATATTGTGGCTTCATGCGGTACATCCGCTCAGAATGGAATAGCAACTTGTCTATAACACGCACCACACGATGAATAACATGAAAAATTTATCCAACTCATTATATCTCCCCACTCCCCCCCAACCCCCCCCCCCCCCCCCCCCCCCCCCCCCCCCACCCCCCC